AAAAAAGTAGAAAGCCCTTATACTATTTTAGAAGTATAAGGATGGCTCGCAACTTGATGTACACTAAATCTAAAATGGATAAAATGGGATGAAAGCCGAATATAGCTGTTGTTTGGATATGCAAATTGGAATATTTGAAGAATATTCATAAATGTATGGTAATAGTTCAATGTTGAAAATTGAATGCCCACGTATGAAATTCACTAATAAAAGTGATTGACTAGTGTAATGATCTGATAGAAATCCTCCAACCATGTTTGAGAATTGATAAAGCTTCAGATAAAGCTAATAAGAAGCATATAGCTTCATAATAGGATTTCTCAGTTGATGACAATTTATATCTATTAAATGAATCAATTGTGCTAGCTGGCTATATTTAATAAGATGCATTATCAATCGTAATGGTAAGTTTAGACATATTCATCATATACATAATACCATAAAGTAGTTGATCTCAAATTGTGCAAACTCGTGGATCAACTAAGAAAAGATTACCAAGAGATCAAGTATACTATCTATCGAGGGGAGTGAGATTAAAACCTACTACGTAAGGATCTTTGTAATGGTAAAACTACCTTATTAACTGGAGATTCCAAGATCTCGGTTCAATGGGACAACTAAGTTATGAAGATTCAATGAAACACTTGGGGAAATGTTTCCTAACTCATTCCTATGATATTAAAATGTTTTTTGTGAAATGTTAGAGGTTAAGATACTCTTTTAATGGTTCATATATCTTGATTAGGTCAAGTGAAGTATGGCAGAATATTCCCAATAGGAGGTCACCTATGTAAATGTGAAGTAGGGGTGCTTCAATAAGAATTGTTCGAGGCTACAATTCTCTAAAAACTTATGAAACCCAAGGATGATTCAAGGCCAAAATGAACCAAGTCCTGAGAACCATAAACAGTTTAGGGAAGACATTGTGCAACTATTGTTGTCTTGATTTACACCAACGACTGAATAGCTCAAGACATCGCGTTCACCAATAAGCCAAGTTACATAAGCTAATTCATAAGCTAATTCATAGGTCACATATCATTATTAAAATCATATATGTTACTAGTCACAAATCACAGTTCATATGTTACATGTCACAATTTTTCGTTAAGGTCATAGTTCACTGGTCACAAGTTACAATCGTTTTGTGTAGGTCACAAATCAGTATAAATGGGTCACACATCAAACAAGTCACATATCGTTTTGTAGGAGTCATAGATAAAATTTACAAGTTACATTTTATGTTACAAGTCACAAGTAACAATTCACAGGTCCCAAGTCATATTTCATGTCAAAATGTGCATAGGTCACAAATTCAATCATTGGCAAAAAAAAGTACGACGTCTTAAATGGAGCTAACGTTAGAACGGTCGCTGAAACATTGCCAAAACAGTCGTTGGAGCCAAGGGCCGCCTCCAGTGAAGAGAATAGGAAGGGAGATGATATATTGTAGAGAGAAAGAAAGAGAAAGGAGTGGAAATGAAAGAAGAAAATTAAGTTTTGAATTTGAAATTTGGTGTGGTAAGGTGTGGTGGGGTAGGTGTAGGTGTAGGTGTAGGTGTAGGTGGACGTGGACGTGGACGTGGGACGGGGTAAATAGAGTAATTTTATTATGTTATTATTAATTAAATTATGAATTAACACCTGATTTTGGAAACTATTTTTACAAATTTGTTAATTTTGAAATGTTGATCTTATAGTACTGTAGTTACGTATTGTTCCTATGGGCTGGGACAAGCCTCCCAGCTCCTCGTTAAGGATGACAACGCGTGACAATGATTAAATATCAACATTTACTTATTTATTTAATTTTTAATGTATATATTTTTAATTATGATTTAACTCTAAAACATAAAATAAAATAAGAAATAATTATCCAGATGGGCTTGACAAAGTTTTAACTTGGCAAATATTTTGTAATGTATCATTTAAGGGGGAGTGTTGTAAATGATTTTTCTCTCTAGTTTATAACATAAACATAATTAGAAAGGTTTTTATAATTTTTATAAAACCAGATCGACTGTCTAAAATTATTTAGTGTTGGAGGCGGAGCTAGATACTATGACGTAATTAGCGGAGAACTGTAATATTCAGGTGCCCATGGAGGTTCTTAAGTAAGGTTTTCTTTATTTAAAATGTTCTTTTGACTGGTGAATTACTTGTATCAATTAATGAATAATCATTTTCTATATTCTCCCTGTAGTTTGGTAGATGATGGGAAGAATCCAGATGAATTTACACGGGATGTGTTGAATAGTTGCATTGCCAAAAACCAGACTACTTAATTTTTTGCCTGTTCACTGTTAATCAAATATCTATTGTGGACCAAAGACTGATACATCTGATCAGAAAAGGGGTAGGCAGAGGTCTGGTTAAAGCTGGGGAGTGTAGAAGACTATCTCTATACGATCAACATGCTGCAGAAGCAAGGAGACTTGCAAATACTGTGTGAATCTGCAAGAAGTAAAGTAACACTGGCAAAGAGTTCTAGAAAATTTCAAATAGGACACTGCTTTCAAAGAAAAGCTCAATTATAAAAGCTAAAGCTCTAATCATTATTTGAAAGATCATACCTGTACCATTTGTTAGCAAGAAATTATGGAGTTGGAATATCCAATCAAGAGAAACCAAACAATAATCCTTTTCCAATTAAGTAAGAGATTCCTATCAAGAATTGTTGGTTTTGGCTGCCGCTATTGACTGAACTCTAGTCGAAGGTGAATGCACCGTCTGCCCATTTTTCTATGCCAAGATCATGAGTGTATTGCCACACGTCAATTTAAAATCACTGTTAGAATCCTATAGGCATAAAACTTTGAATTAGGAGAACAGAGAAAGAACCATAGTAAGCCCTTGTTTGGTAGGAAAAAAAAAAAGGCACGTGACTTATATTTGATCCGAGTGACATTATTCACGCCCTTTACTTGTTTTTACTATCTTGGGAGGTTCTGTGAACATTTTATCCTTGGGTAATTAGCGCAAAACGTCTTTACCTATGATGGGTTTTGTGGAAAACGTCCATACGTTTGATTTTTTGGTGCAGAACGTCCCTACCTTTGCATTTTCTTGCGCAAAACGTCCTTCCGTCCAACTCCCGTTAGAATCCACCGTTAAATAAAAGGGTAATTGGCGCAAAACGTCCCTACCTATGATGGGTCTTGTGGAAAACGTCCCTACGTTTNCACCAATTTTTAACATAAAATGATCGTTATACCCTCATATATAAATAAAACAAAAAAGAAAAGAAAAGAAAAATAAAGAATAAATTGCAATCTGCTCCTCAACTTTTAAAAAAATACAAATCAGTCCACACTTTCTGAAAAACCTTTTTTTTTTTACAAACCAGCAGCTAGGGTTTTTTCTTGCTATTGCACCAAAAAATTGGGAACAATTTAGAAGAAGGGGACGTGTTCATCAACCTGTTCGCACCAAACTTGAAGGTAATATCAGATTTATTTGTGTAAAAGCATGCTTTAAATCTACAGAAATTCGAAAATGAAGTTGAGTGGCGAGGGAAGAAGGTGACGCATGAAGAACAATGCCAGCGACAGGCAGAGCAGGTGACCCAGATGAAGAAGCTCTCCTCCGATTTAAGTGCGTGTGTACTCGATGGCGCTCCTTAATCTCGTCCTCTTTCTTCGCCTCCTTCTCCTTCGATTTGATGCACTTCCTGGTGGGTTCAATTCAGTTCAAGTTTTAGATCTCTCTTCTAACTTGATTAATGGATCATTACCTCACTGGTGAGTATAACTCACAAGCATCCATTGCAACTCCTCAGCACCCCCAATGTAGCTGCCACTGATGAAGACACGAGGGAGGGATAATTTGGACTTGTCAGATTCCCCAAAGATCATTTGCAGCTCCTCAATGTAAACACAGTCCATAGAAACATCCCTTTCGTCAAAAAACATGTGGAAGGCACCAAGGATCGTTATGACGGTCTTGCAGACCCTGGGTTGCACCGGATTGGCTGATTTCATTGGCTACACTCGTGAGTTCACACAAAAATAAAATGTGGTAGCGGAGTAAAATTGCAATTTATTCTTTATTTTTCTTTTCTTTTTTGTTTTATTTAAATTGGAGGGTATATTGGCCATTTTCTGTCAAAAATTGGAGAAAATGACGTTTTGCGCAAAAAAANTGGGTATGGTTACAATTTGTTCTTTATAGTTCTTTTCTTTTTCTTTTTGTTTTATGTAAATTGGAGGGTATATCGGTCATTTTATGTCAAAAATTAGGGAAAATGATGTTTTGCGCAAAAAAAAAAATGAAAGGTACGGACGTTCTACGCCAAAAAATAAAAAGTAAGGACGTTTTCCACAAGAACAGGCAAAGGTAGGGACGTTTTGAGCCAATTACCCTTTTATCCTTACCATTTGCTCAAAATTTATTTCTTAAACACATACATATAGGTTCGAACTGTGTATGATGTGAGGTAAAATGAAATAACTTTTGCTTCTTTTATGATGCAGAGCTTGAGAAGGCATCTGCTCGAGGAACTGGAACAGACATTTCCTGATGAAGTTGAAGCATATAGGGAGATACACGCAGCTTCTGCAGCTGTGAGTTAAATTTGGCTTACTTTTTTGGTAACGTATTACTCGTGAAACAATGAAAATTTTAATTTATGATAACTCTCTAAATCTCTTATCTGGGTTAGGTTAACTTCGTGAGAGCTCATGAGTTATACTATTTCATCATCATAATATCATATATTAGCGTAGAAGACGAAATGGAATATGAGGAACTTGTAATTCCTGGAAAATTCTTCACTATTAATATGTGCACTTATGAAATTCAGAGGAAAATGTGTACAAGTTTTAGGCTATGCTGCTGGGGAGTGGGACATGGGACAGTTAATATTGGTAGATGTTTATTAAAAAGCTGAAAACCTTGCAAGTCAAATATTTCTATCATTGACAAATGTGAAGTCTTTGATAAATGTTGATAAATTGAAAATATCAGCCTTAATACATCTCGATTATGCATATTCTTGAATCCTCTATTACCTGCGTGCTTGTCAAAATTTTCAGTCAACTATATCTGAGGCGAACATATTCTTTGTTTCCAGTTTCAATTTATCACATCACAGATATGAGTTTGGTGGTAATGAAATGAATGAGGAATATCAAATGTTATTGACTTTATGTGGCTGTGATTTGAAGTGTGTATCACCACATATTGTTTGAAATGGGAAAATATAGTATTATGTTTAAATTCTGTGGGTGGCGTAGCTACCAAGATTAATGCAGTCAAATATGTAGATGACCGAGTAGAAAAAATTTTGCAATTGGCTAATGGGATTTGGCTTCTTTACAACATAAGAACTCTTGGCTTCGCCGGCTGTAGATGTTGGAAAAGCAACTTTAAATTCTTTCTTTCCTTGTAGTGTTATATGGCAGTAGGTAACATTTTTAAATTTGACATTGTAAGTTCTAAACTTTTCTTGTCTAATACAGGAGACAGATCGTCTTGCACAACAAAACTTAATCCATCTACCCTAATTGGGGTACATAAAATAGTTTCAAAAGGTGTTGTGGGAATAGAAAATAATGCACCTTGTAAAATTGATGGTATTGGAAGGGTCAGAATGAAGATGTTTGATGGATCTATGGGGACAATTGATGAGGTGAGGCATGTTCCAGGTTTGAAGTGAAATTTTATCTGCTTGAGTACTTTTGATTTAAAAAGGTATAAGTACGCTAGTGAATGTGAAGTCCTTAATGTCAGTAAAGGTGTCCGTGTTGTGATGAAGGGACAACGATGGTTACATAATGGTCTAGATATAGGTAAAAAATTCTATATGAACCTCTTATAGAAGCCCACATGGCCAATTACTGTCCAATATCTTTTAGAGTCTGTTTGATTGCAAGGGTGGAAAGAAAATGAATTCCAAAGAAAATAATTGCCTAAAACTTGTTTTCCAGGGAATTGTTAATTAAGTGTGTTTGATTGGTATAAGTTTTCACCAGGAAAATTTTAAAATTTTGGATTCTTTGTGTTGGTTTGACTTTGTTTTACATGTAAATTATCCATTAAGTAATAATTTT